GATGACGCTCCAAGGGCTGTCTTCCCTAGCATTGTGGGAAGCCCTCGTCACACCGGTGTCATGGTTGGCATGGGCCAGAAGGATGGCTATGTTGGTGATGAAGCTCAATCCAAGAGAGGTATCTTGACTTTGAAGTATCCGATTGAACATGGAATTGTCAGCAATTGGGACGACATGGAGAAGATTTGGCCATCATACTTTCTACAATGAACTTCGTGTGGCTCCAGAAGAACACCCTGTTCTTTTCACTGAAGCTCCTCCTAATCCTAAAGCCAACAGAGAAAAGATGACTCAGATCATGTTTGAGACTTTCAACACCCCGAAGTTGATAGAACACCGGTGCGTGTGTCCGATACGGGTGTGGATCTAGAGGTCGGATCTTTCGAGATATAAATGTTAGGAATATACTATATATGCCCTAGATCCAATGTCATATTTGATGATTTGAACATATTTTTTTTTGGTGAACGTTATTTCATATAAAATATATATATGGCATTTGATATTCTTTTATCATGGTTATTAATTACTTGATTAATTTGATAAGGTCCTTGATTAAATTTTGAGACTTGACATTGTGATGGAGATCATGATAATGAGAGTGAAGTTTCTTATAATTTAATCTAAATTTTATTCTTGATCATAAGATTATTAATTTGGACATTAATAATCCGGTTAGATCAATAACTACGTGATTATCTTTATAGGATAAAGATTAGTTGATCTCATTAACTAAATCACATAGATAGATGATGCATATAGAGATATGATCATTGAACCGACTCATTGGATAATTCTTAATGGTTAGAATTACCATAAACTGTCAATGGGATATTCTCTGGAAGAATGTGATGTAAGAACTTCCTTTGACCTGATATCATCATAGTAATTGACAAGTTATTTATTGTACTTTGATACTAGACACCTATGGCCCTAGGGCGATAGTTGAAAGGATATTGGGTACGATTAAATACTTGTAGAATTAGTGATTGATCAAGATGGAATCTGTCAACTCTTGGTAATGAGTTTAAGCTCCATGTTGTCATGAATTATAACCGACCAAATTAAGACCTTGGTCAGGGCGATTGAATGAAAGAAAAAAAGAGTTTCTTAGGTCATTCAATGGTTGATTATATTTTGACATGAACACATAGTTGGTCGCCTATTAGGATTTGACAGTTGAACCATATCCTAGGGTGACCCAGAGCTATAATGACAGATGGAATTAATACATTATTCTTCTACAGGTTCTTGAGAGTAAATTGTATACTTCATGTTATTTGGTCGTTAAGGAGTGTTGTTAGACGCCACCCTTGATTAGTATATTGATGTGATCAATTTACTACCGGCTTAATATTGAACCTATGGGGTCGCACACTAACGAGTGTTATGATCTTTGCTAAAAGATTAATTGCTTTATTATTTGATTATTAAATTAAAGAATTTAATTATTCAAATAAATTTAGTTATTAGTCCAAATGAAATATTATTATATTCTTTGCTAGCACAGAGGATANATATAATTAGCACTTATTTTATATAAGAGATGTTATATAAAATATTAATAAAGTCTTGTTAATAAATTCAATTTTGAATTGGATTAATTAACATGGAAAGTCCTTATGGTATTGTCTACAATTTTCAACCCANTCTTTTACATATTGTAAAGAAAGCAAGAGAGTCATTCTTGAGATGAAAAATTACTTTGAGAAAGTAATAGTGCAATATAAAACCAAGATAAAAAATACTAGTACAAGAAAATTGTTTCTTGTTCTTCTACCTTTGAGTTGAGATTTTTGAGAAAAATTTCAACACAATATTTTCATTCAATTTGTTCACGGGGTTTCATTGATCAAGGAGTTGATAGCAAGGACCAGTCTCGGTGTGGATACGCATAGGGTCTTCGCACATTCGAAGAAATTTTGAAACAAGATTCTCTTCACCAGGTATGTCTTAGATCCGATCTTTGATATGTAAATAAATTTTAAACATGAAAAGTTCTACTGAGGATTGTTATTATCTTCCGTTGCGTGTTATGAACACCTATATGCGATCCCACAGTGGTATCAGAGCCATGGTTTCTCGTGTCTAAAATTTATTTACGAAATATTTTATGATTATATTTAAAAAGTTCAAACCATAATACATGTGTCTTGTGCACTAGACAAATTGTTTGAATGCATGGATTGATATTATTTTATCGTGAATAAAATATGTATTCATAAAAGTTAAACTACTGAGATAGTTCGTAACTTGAATTTAAAATTTCGTATAAGATACGACGGTAATCTATAATAGGTTATTAGATTATACAGTTATTTAAATTGTTATTAGTTTATGAGGTATTAACTAATAATAGTTTTCTGGCATGAATTATTTTATGTGATATATAAGATAAACATGTTAGAAGTATGTTGAATTTGGTTTTTATGTCACATGCTTGTTCGACATATGATTTTGAATTATTTATTACATGTGATGTAAATTAATTTAGGACAAAGCATGTAGACAACTTAAACCAAATTCACGTGCTACGAAAGATTTGATCATCATGTTATTAAAAATTGTTTTAGTAACAATTCCCTCTTACTAAAATTTGAGTTCTTGAATAATAAAATATAAGATATTTTATTATAGAGCTATCCATCAAAGTAAATAATTTTACTTATCTTTTCTTTATAAGGAGCGGCCTGACTACCAGGAGACTTATAGTTCAAGAATATGTTAAAATTATTTATTTGTATTAGATGTATCGATTGAAAGAATTATTCAATTTTACACTAGATGCCTAGACTACCCAGGGGAGTATAAAATTTAATAAGTTCTTTGCTATCATGATGGTTGAACTCAACTATGCCAATAGGATCGACCTGACTACCAGGGGACTATTTGACATAGAGCTATTTAAGGAAGTTGTATAAGGATACAATTGATAAGAGTACCTACCTTTAAGATATATGTGAGAAACGACTTGACTTCTAAGGGGCTCATACATATTGGTGAAGGATTCCTTTACTCCACTAATAGAAATAAAGATTTCTTAAACTATAATGAGGGTAAATAGTTTAAAATAATTAGTGAAAATATCATTTAGATAAAAGTTCATGTCTTTATGATATATGTAAATATGTTCTTATATTATTGCCTTTTCTTTTCAATATTTTAGATTTTTCAATATGTCTGTTATATCACTGCGTCAAATACCTGAGACCAACACGCTGGTAGGACCAAACTTTGATGACTGGTATAGAAATTTGAGAATTGTTCTCATGCATGAAAAGCTTATTAATGTGATCGATAAGCCTGCAAAGATAATCCCACCAGAGAATGATGTAAGACACCAAGGTTTATCAGAAATATTTGGAAGAATGCCTTGCTATTAAACACATCATTCTCGCTTCTATGAGTTCTGAACTCCAGAGGAAACATCAGAATATGGATCCAACTGCAATTATTGAATATCTTAAGAAGATGGTTGATATACAGTTGGACATTGAAAACTCACCGGTTGGACCCCTTGTCAATCATGTGATTGTTCTTATCGAAGAACATGAGAAGTTGGGGTACAAGCTTGGTAAAGAGCTTTCTGAAGATTTGATCTTGCGGTTAGTATATGATGATGAATGTTTTCACTTCAAGAAGAAAGGGTATTGGAAGAGAAACTGCAAGGAGTATCTTGCAACTCTAAAGGACAATAAACAAAGTGAGACATTAATGAAAAATGTTTTCAAGGTTTCTTTAGCTACTACTAATTCTTCACTGTGAGTATTAGATACCGGTAGTGGTTATAACATCTGCAATATGTTGCAAGGGTTCAAGATAAGTAGGAGACTAAAGAAAGGAGAAATTAATCTACAAGTTGGAAATGGTGCAAAAGTTGCAGCCATAGTTATTGGATCAATTTCCTTATTAATGCCTTTGAGCAAAGTACTTATGCTAGATGATTGTTATTATGTTCCTAAATTTGTTTCGAACATAATTTCAGCTTCTATGTTGGAGAAACGTGGTTTTCACATAAATATAGGTAATGATATTTGCTCTATTTATTATGGTGATAATTTATATGTGAATGACTATCTCCAACATGATGTTTATGTCTTACCTAATGTAAATGCTAATTCGATTATGCATGTTTTAAGTCTTAAGAGAAAAGGAGATGATCAAGTAAATCATACATACCTTTGGCATTGTAGGCTTGGTCATATTGGAGAGAAAAGAATTAATAAGTTGTACAAGGAAGGATACCTTGACAAATATGATTTTGAATCATATTCAACTTGTGAATCTTGTCTCAAGGAAAATTGACCAAATCTCCATTCACCGAAAGTGTTAAGCTCACAGAAATTAAGATAATAGATTCCTTTGGCTATAATAGCAAACTCCTTGGCTTATTTGCTTTGGTTGAAAAATGCTGATTAGGTAGAACTAATGCTGAGTAGTGATTTCTATGCAAAATATTGATCGATTTAAGCTGAAAGGTGATTTTACATTTATTGAGATGGTGCAAGGCATTTTTATATTTATTTATTTTTCCTGAGTGCGGATGTGGATAGCAAAGGCTGTGTACGATGAGTCTGGGCCTTCAATTGTTCACAGAAAATGCTTGTAAATATAGCTGCTCAGATAGTGATCCTTGGAGAGATCACTAGATTGCAGAAAATGTGTTTTTTTGTGTTTCTTTATTATTATTTTATTTTTATTCCTTTATCTGAGTCTATGTTAAAATTTGATCTCTGGTAAAAAAAACAGCTCATTTAAAATTCATTTTTTTCATAAATTTTTTCATGTTGAAGAGTGTACGTCAAATGTGACTTGAATTTGATTAAGAGTTTCCAACTAATGATTATTCTATTTACTCATGGTCGAAAATTTCATTAACCAAATATGCAATTTCCTTCATTTCCCTTAAATCTTTTGCCCCTTAAATGTTTTCATATCGTTGAAGCAGATCATGTGAAATTTACCATGTCTAAAAACAAGATAGTACACACACAAAACTATGTATTCCAAGTCACCTCAAATAGATTACTAGCCATAACTTACTAATACAAACAACACAGAATGCAAATCTCAAACATTATTAGAGTAACATATCACCCTGGGGACAGGGGAGTTAGTTATTTGACAGGCTTACACAAGACTCTGGTTATTAGTAGACAAAGGGAAATATACTTAGGCATAGTCACAAAAACCAAATGAACACATCTGACCAGGAGAGCAAACATTAGAACACTTGCCACAATTGCCATTGTCTTTCTGGATGTCCACACAGATTCCACCACAGCATCTCGTTCCAAGGTTACAGACAAGGCCACAGGATCCACAGTTGAACCTGTTGGTGGACAAATCAACACAACTATAGTTGAAACAACATGTATTGCGTTCTGATAATCTCTTGCAAGTTTTGCAGATCAAGTTGTAGTCGGTAGAATTTGTCGAGTTTTCTCCTAGCTTTCTGGGAGGAGGAAATGCAACTTTTCGCGCAGAAAGAGCAACGTTGGTGTAAGAGTTTGTAGTTGCATTTCTATTGTTTGTCTCAGTTACAGACATTATGGTAATTGGTGTGCTAGAAAGAGCGAGGATGACAATGAGAATGTTAATAAAAGCCATAATTTGACACTGGAGGTTTCTGCTGAGCTTCTACAAGGTTTTATAGCTATACAAGATGGCGTACCAGAACATAATGTCAAGTGCCAAAATCTAGAGTTCATGCACAAGAATCTGAAACAACATGACTTGTTTTTTCGATCATAACTAGAACCCCAGGAATTTTGGGGGTGATCTGCAATAAGTCAAAGTTGCATTCCCAGCTGTCTATTACACTTGCCTGTAAGTTGGTGAGGAACATAAATGGGGGCTTTAATAAATGTCAAAACCTATGCAGCTTAGAGTTTGAACTTGTTAGTGACAGATCTTGGATTTACAGTTCCAGCCCAAAATTATTTGTTGGAGTTACTTCGAAGCTTGAACCTAAACCAAAATAAGAAGATTTAATACTACTAAGGAGATACAACAAGCAGGGGCATACGCAAGAGTTTTTGTAAGCGTTGTCACCATTTTAGATATGAACAAATAAAAAAATTATTGTAATAATATCATATTCAAAAAACAATCGGGGAAAACCCTGCACAGAAATCTTTAGGCTTTGACCAGATAAGCTAGACGCTTCTTTGTGACAAGTAGTGTCACTTATTTAATTTTACCGTTTTTCTTGTTTTTTCATTTGAATTATATATAAATAATTAGTAAAGATTCTCGACGAAGCGCTGTCACGTGGCACCGTTTGGGCTAAGGTAGATCCGCCCCTGACAACGAGTCTTTCTTTCTACTATGTCCTGAAGTTTTGCTAACAAGAATGTACAAAATAAGGATTGCTTACCCGTAAAACGGTACAGTTGAATTTATACGTGGTTTATAGACAAGTGAATCGATTTGATCCAAAAATAATAGATGAATTAGACAAAATATAAGACTTGGCCTTGAAACTGAAATAAAACGGCAGATATCTTAGTCCCGGGCGCGGAGCTAACGGAGGCCGTAAGAACAATATAAATAAGCAAGAAAGTAAAATGTTATTGAGCTTTTGATAGAATATATAGTGTATGCTTGTCAGAAAATTCATGTCCTTTACAATGATGGTAGAGCTCACTATATATGGTGACATCTAGGGAACAAGGTCCTGGGATCAAGCCCCTGATAAATGACAATTATGAGGACCATTGAAGAATGTGTAACGGTGAGCAATGAATGTTATATTCTCTATAACGGACTATGCACTTAATACTATAGAATATTCCTCATTAAATACTATGGTGGTGGGCATTTACTTCGCCTTTATGGATATCATTCTCTACGGTACCAAGCGAGATCACTACCCTCGGGCCCTTCTGTTTTCCGCTCCACATGTCACTCTCTCATGCTAACATCAAATATGAACATATTTTACCCCATACAGATAGTCCCCCTGCTTTCCGGTGACATAACTTTGTATTATGGGGAAGTTGGTACATATACCTTTCTTGGTAGGAAATTCTCTGACCCTTTGTGAAAAGTTTTTGACGGTTGATTAGACGCACATCTCTCCGCATTTAATGCCCCAAACACGCGTCAGCCCACGACTCAACATCACTTATGCCGGTTATCGAGATAATTACGGCCACGATTTTGATCGCCTATTCCTTTACTTAAACGCATCAAACTTCTTCATTTACACTTCCTAATTATGCAAACTTTCTCAAACTCTTTTTACTCAACTCGCACTTTGTCTTCATCCTTTCTTTAGTCTTCTTCTTCAGAGAAACTCTTCATTGCTTTCTGATGAAAATGGCCTTTTCTTCTAAAAATCCTAGTTCCTTAAAGAACAAAGGTAAAGCCGATAAGGGTGCTCCTCCTAAGTCTGGTCACAACTAAAGACTTCTAAGAGAAGTTTCCTTCTGCTAACCCTCGTACGTGGGCCGTTGGCATGTACCCTTCTTCATTCGTCCTTCCAGCATTCCTGCTGTGAAGGAAGACTGTCATTCCAAGATTTAGACATTATCGCTCCTTCTCTGGCAAAGCAAACAACCTTACCCAAGAAGGCTTCATGTATTTTTATATGTATACTCTTACTTTGGGCCGTTCTCTCTGAGTGGGGAGCTTGACTCCATTATTGTGGAGTTTTGCATCCCTACCAAGTATGCCTGGCGCAAGTAAAACCTTTTGTATGGAGGACAGACGCTTGTCTTCGACATTTGTGCCAGGAGACGGGAGAGGAGTTAACCCTTACTCGATTAATGAACCTTTATTCCCCTAAGAATTTTCGAGGGGGAATGATAAATTTCAGCAAATGTGGCCACCATGCACCGCTAGCCAGCATTGATAATGACAACGATTGTGGATGAATGAAACGGTTCGTTGCAGTTGCCACCAAATACATCATTTTATCAACGACTTCATCCTTTCCGGAGTTGTGGAACCGTACTCGTAAGTTCATTGTTTGTCTTTTCTTCTAGTTAAAGATCACCCCATGTTGTTACTAATTCCTCTTCTTTTACATATTTCAGCAACTCGGTGGGTTCCACTATAGGTTGAAGGCTTGGACCAGTGGGTCCAAAAGATTTTGGACGTTACTATGCCCGAGACCCGTACGTGGAAGGAACTAGCCCTTAAATACGTGAAGAAAGCCGAAAATCATGGTAGGTTAAACTCAGCTCGTTTATACCTTCCGTATAAGAAAGTTGATTAACCCTTTTTCCTTTGCTGAATTCAGGTCTACCTAGGGCTCAATTATCGTCCCCGAGGAGGATATTTTGGCTTATCCTACTGATGTGGCAAGGCTGTTGCAGGAGGTGTTTACCCAAATAGGTGTCTCCAAGCCTGCTTCTGGTGTAAGTGTTTCTTCTCAAAGTCCCCAGCTAGAGAGCAAGTAACCAAAAAGAACATGTTCCTCCGCGACATGGGGAAAAAATAAAAAGGCAAAGAGTGTTGCACCCGAGTCATCTCCGAAAGTTGTGGTGATGAGCCTTGCGCCAAAGCCGGCCATAGACATCGTGGTAATCGACGATGATGGAGAAGCCAGTGAGGAGGGGACTTCTCTACATAGTCTTACAACGACCTTCCTCAGCTCAACATAATGCTCAATCTGTTGAGTTAGTTACACCAACCGAGGACGATGCATTGACACTTTGTGGGAGTATGATATGGTAGGCAATGCCAACTCCCATTTCCGAATCCCAGTCATCGTGCCCGGTACTGTGGGCTAAGTACCGGATCCCTATCGTCTTCGGTTGATGAGCAACCAACAACCAGAACTGCGCTTGCCGCAGCCACTTCTCATCCTTCAATGCCACCAGCTACATCTCCCTCTTCACCAACCCTGTCTGTACCACTGACAACTGCTACATCACCTCCACCGAGCGCCACTATCCGAGATGAGGATATTCCTTTTCCCAAGTCCCCATTTCATGGGAATTTGGCGCAAAATTATGGTGTCCCCTCCGAAGTTCCCAAAGGCGGAAGAGTCTCTCGGTCTTTACCGGGTGCCATCTATTATCTCAGCCGGTGGAACTTGCTAACAAAGGCTTCAGAAAAAATAAGGGAAAAGATACAAGCTCTCTCGGGAGAGTATTTGTTGAACAATGTCATGCACAATGCATCAATGGTATTTTCTTCATTTCCTCCGTTATTTCTTCTATCTTTGACATAGTAGGATTTTGAATTTGCATTTTTGTTTTCCAGGCCAATTTTCTTTCTTTCGACGGCCTCCAAACGCTGATTTGTGATAAGGAGGAACTTACCTCCGAGCGGGATCAACTTTCAGTCGAGTGAAATCAAATAGTTGCTCGCCTCTCGAAACTTGAAGCTCGAGCTGCTGAGGTTGTTGAGTTGGAGGCTTGGTTGCAGCAAAGCGAGCAAAATATAGTGACCCTTAGCCAAGAGGTCGCCCTGTTGAGGGCTCAATTTGAAGAAGCTAGGGCCAAATGGGTTGAAGTCCATTATTCCGTTCTTGCTGCATCCGATCGCGACGCTGCCTCCGCTGAAAGATAAACTCCAAGGTTGAAGAAGTTACTATTGCCGAGGCGAAGTGTGCCCATTGAGCACAATAGAATTTTTAGCTCTATTGTCCGTGACCTTGATGTTAGCCTCCAATCCGTTAGATCTGTGCGAGGTAACCTTTTTGCTAAGGTTGACCAACTTAGAAAGGAACTCCAGTGCTGAGCAGCTTGAGGAGAAAGACCTTGGAAGAGGCCAAAGCGGGTGTCATTGACTTTGATGCCGAAATCGCTAAGGCCCGTGAGCTGGAGTTAGCTGCAAAAAGGGGTCTTCCAGCCTGGCCTGATGCTACCGATTCTTCCGGTTCTGAGTGCCTTGGAACTGAAGAAGATTCGAAAGGTGATGACGTTGAAGGCCAAGATACCAAACCGGCGGCGGATCTACTCATTTCTCCTAGGGGCGTTGATGTTTCTCTTCCTCCGGGTTCCGGAGATGCAACAGCTTAGTTTTTGCTTTCTTTTTCACACTTTTGTACTTGTGCTGTTTGGCACATTTATTGTAAATAGAGCCACTTTTTCATTGAAGTATAAGTTTTTCTCTTTGTGTCCTTTGGTTTAAGTATTTGCGCAAGTTTGGTCTTTGCGTCTTTTTCGTTTAAGTGTTTGTACAAGTTTTGTTGTTTGCGTCTAATTGTGAAAGGCTTCGGGTGTATTTTCCACTGAAAGAATTTGGATTTCGGGTATAAGTTCTTCAAAAATCAACCTTTTAACGTGAGGGTTTTCATAAGAGAGGGTCCTCTTATGTTTACGGTGCTATTAAAGAGGACGTCTCATGTTCATTACGACACTAGCATTTGAAGTACTTGTTTAACTTTCAAATGATAAAATCAGTTCATCGTTCAGGCAAGAAACGAGATAGAAATAAAAGGACTTTACTTTATTTCTTCCATTTTCAAAACTACATAAGCATTCATTATGCTAAAAAGAAATTGTCATTTCTTGTTGCTAACTTGTACAACTTGTTTCTACGGGGTTGGTCGCATAGTCCCTGGTTTCGATGATACAAGTATGTTTCCGATTTTCGTATTTCGGTCAACATAGCAGTCATTGTTGTCGTATCCTCATATCATTTCCCCTCCCCTAGTGTTCGAATGCGAAGA